GTTGCCTGATAAGGGAGTGTTCCAAAGACTGGTCGGGAAGTTATTATACCTTTGCATGACTCGACCAGATATTTCCTATGCAGTTAGTGTAATCAACCAGTTTATGCATTCTCCCAGAGATACACATTTAGCAGCTACTGAGAGAGTTTTGTGTTATCTAAAAGGGACTCCAGGGAAAGGTATCTTGTTTGCTATGCATGGACACATGAAGTTGGAAGCATATACTGATGTTGACTGGGCCGGATGTATTGATGATAGGAGGTCCACTTCAGGTTACTATGCTACAGTGGCAGGGAACATTGTATCATGGAGGAGTAAGAAGCAGTCTATAGTGACAAGATCCTCAGCTAAAGCAGAGTACAGGGCAATGGCACATGGAGTTTCTGGACTTTTGTGGTTGAGATCACTTTTAGATGAATTGGGTATAGGCTGTGAGAAGCCAATGATGTTATATTATAACAACCAGGCCACTATCAACATTGCACATAATCCTATTCAACATGAAAGAACTAAGCACATTGAAGTTGACGGGCATTTTATACGAGAGAGAGTTGCCTTGGGAGAAGTCTGTCTACCATTTGTTGCTTCTGAAGAACAGTTGGCTGATGTTTTGACAAAAGGTGTTCCTAAAGGAAAGCAGGTTCACTATATAAGCAAGCTAGGCATGATGGATATCTATGCTTAGCTTGAGGGGGAGTGTAGAGAGACTGGGTCGAATGGGCCCTAGCCCATTAGTGTCTTTCTTGTTATGTTTTCTTATTGGGCCTTTTCTTTATGGGCCTTTAGCTCTAGTTTATGTTTTCTAAGTATAATGCTGATGTGGACTCCTACTTAAGTGCAATCTTGTAAATTATGTAACTTAAGTAAGTTCATTAAAAGATTAGTGGGGGAAAGAGGAGATTATCGAACTCTTCCTTTCTTTCTCCTTTCTTCTTCAATCTTCCTTTTTCTTGATGTCTTCTTCTTCTTCCTTACTTTCTTTTGCTTTATCTAAAATACTCTGCTAATTTTATTGGTTTGAATCACATCTACTTCCTCTAATCCTGATTTATATCTTCCTATTGCCTTGCGAAAACTAGTTCATTCATGCACTCTTCGTCCTATTAATAGATTTGTTTCATATTCTCCCTTGTCTCCTATCTATTACTTTGAGGCTAATGTTGATCCCAAATGGAGGGAATCTATGGATGAGGAAATGAAAGCCCTGTAGAAAGCTAACTCTTGGGAGCTAGTGGATCTAGTGGATAGGAAAAACACTATAGGGTGCAAGTGGGTATATACAATCAAACACAAGGCTGATGGTTCTATCGAGAGGTATAAAGCCAAATTAGTTGCAAAAGGATTCACCCAAAAGGAAGGGATTGATTATAAGGAGACCTTTGCTCCAGTTGCAAAATTGAATGCTATATAGGTGTTACTCTCTCATGCAACAATTTTTTCTTGGGAACTACATCAATTAAATGTTAAGAATGCTTTCTTAAACAAAGATCTACAAGAAGAAGTATACATGGACCCTCCTCCAGGGTTTGACATGAAAGGAAAGATATGCAGGCCAAGGAGGACCTTATATGGCCTCAAACTCCATGGTCTTGGTTTGAAAGATTATGCAAAGCAATGAAGGCTGTTGGGTACAAGCCGAGCAGTGTTGATCACATGTTGTTCTATAAAAGAAATGAAGGAAAACTAACAGTATTGACAGTTTATGTTGATGACATGGTTGTTACATGAGATTATTCGAATGAAATTCGAAAGTTGAAAGTCTTCTTAGCCTTAGAGTTTGAAATCAAGGACCTGGGACCTCTGAAATATTTCTTGGGAATAGAGGTGGCTAGATATAGAGAAGGAATATACATCTTCCAAAGGAAGTATGCATTAGACCTTCTAAAAGAGATAGAGAAGCTAGGAGCTAAACCAGCAGACACTCCTATAGAGCAAAATCATGGGTTACATGAAGATGATGGAGAATTGTATCCTGACAAAGAGAGATATCAGAAATTAGTTGGACAATTGCTTTACTTATCCCTCACAAGACCTGATATTGCATATGTAGTTCATGTGATCAGCCAATTTATGCATGCTCCACGAGTTTCACATATGAGGGTAGTAGAAAGGATCTTGAGATACTTGAAGACATGTCCTGGGAAGGGAGTATTGTTTAAGATATGTAACAAAATAGAGGTGAAAACCTACACTGATGCCGATTGTTGCAAGATCAAGTGTCAAGGCTGAATACAGGGCTATGGCCCATGGAGTTGCTGAACTACTTTGGCTTCAGATTCTTCTAAAGGAGTTGGGGATAAAAGTAACTGGACCTCTAAATCTGTATTGTGATAATGAGGCTGCAACCAACATTGCTAACAACCCAGTCCAGCATGATAGAACAAAACATATTGAGATTGATAGACACTTTGTGCAAGAAAGAATTGTTTCTAGGGACCTCTGCATTCCTTACATGCCATCTACAAGACAACTAGCTGATGTTCTTACCAATGGGCTCACCAAGACAAGATTTATGGAACTATTATGTAAGTTGGGCATGAATGATATCTATGCACAGCTTGAAGGGAAGTGTTGTGAGACCTAGTTTGTAGTCTTGGGCCTTAGTAGTTGACTACTATCAATATATTGTTCTTAGTAGTTGACTACTATCAATATATTGTTCCTAGTATTCAACTATTAGGATACTTTTGTAATTTTATCTCTTTTATTTTGATTGCCTTAACATTTAGTAGAATGGTTGGCGCTGCTAGCACACTTTTGAGCTTTTCTCACATTGTTTCTCTCTCTTTTCTTCTCTTCTTTTTCTTTTCTTCTTCTTCTTCTTGGAGAACAAGTCCAAAAAGGAATCTAGCCACATTTAGTTGATCTCTTTGTTGTTGTACCTTGAGATCAGTTGATAGTGGTTGATATGAGTCCAACTCATTGCATGAACTCTTCAAACTAGCATAATAATCCTTCACACTCCTATCACCTTTCTGCAACTGAAAATACTCCTGATACAATTGATTAATCCTAGTCACATTATCTTGGTCAAAATATAACTGTTTTACATGCTCCAAATCTCTTTAGCAGTGTCAAAGAACATTAAATTCATGCTAATGTGTGGTTCCATACTTTTTTACAAACATGTCATAATCTGTGCATTCTCTTATATCCAATCATTATACCCAACAACTCCTGAATCTGGTTTATTCTCCTTGATATATTTCAATTTACCCCTAGCAGTCAGGTTTATCTCAACTGATTTTGCCCATGGTACATAATTTCTATCATTGGGCTTAACTAATATCATCTGAACAACCATGAAATCTGGACAAATCACCACATTTGACTTATTCTCACTACTAGAGGTTTCCATAACCTCAATAACAATGCTATATAATATTTAGCAATAAGAAATAAAAATCAACTCACTTTCAGACCAAAAAACCACCAAAAATTGATTACATACTAGTCTGAGAGCACTAATTGCATAGGTACAGACTATGAAAAAGCATAAGAAACACATTCTAGCTTCTAGCTGATTGCAACCACATGAATCACAGATAAAAACCTCACACTACAACACTATTTCCTCCCACCTTTCAATAGAAACAACAAAGAAATATAACGCTAACCTGCACCATTCACCATCAATCCCTCTTTGAATCGCCAATTACAGGGTGACCAGAAAACCACTGAAACCACCACAAACACTGCAACCTGAGTCATGGAAGCTTCCTTCCCTAGTGGGTGATCAGTCCTTTTTTGTTGCTTTTCCTTCCTTCAAATTATGGTGAGAGAAAAATCAAATCGATTTCGGCTGTGGCATCCTTACCAGTTCAGGTCAATCAAATAAGCTATGATACCATGTGATCAGACCTGAAATAAAATAAACAAAAATGAAAACAATCCTAACAACAGTCCAGATATAGTTCAGACTGAAGTAGGAGAGGAGAAAAAGAGATGTTGAAGAACTAGGGCTGAAAGCCATTAGCGATCAAACTAACTGATCTCTAACTTCTGCCCTACTTTTGTTTTATTATATTGAAATTGAAATTATACCACTACCCCTGAAAAATAAGAGAAAATAAATAACAAAAGAAAACAAATAGAAAAGGACTAAAAGAACCCTATAACCAGCACTATAATTTAACATCTTGTAATACAATGAAATTTATTAAAAGGATCAAAAAGAACAAGGGAGATGACCAGAAGTCACCTGAAAGAAGAAAAAATAGCCCCCAACTCGAGAAACGACCCAACCCCACTCCTCAACAACCACAAACCAAAACACTAACCACAATAAGCCTCAAACCCCCAACAAACAATGGGAAAACAAATGACTCCACCAAAAGACCACCCAAAGGTGATCCTTGATTACTTTCACCCCAACAACAGGTTGAAAATGATCTCCTTTGCTTCTCTTGTTAGTTTTCTTTACTTTCGTCACGGTTGTATATTGCTGTACAAATTAAACAAAATGTTTCTGTTATTGATCAAAATAAAATGAAACTCTCACTGTTTCCAAAGGTTGGGATCATCTCATATTCTGAAATTTTAACTCTATCCTATCACTACTGAAAATTGATATGATATCTTGATGCTTTAATGAAAGCCTCATATTTCTTTGTAGGTAATATACATAACTATGCCTCTCCTACATTCCCTCATGTATGCTTTTGCCTGTACTTAATACAATAGAGGATTTCCTTTCTCCGAGACATAACCACAAGACAGAATAACAAGCAAACTTATGTAACCAATCAAAAAATGAAAAACACAGAGAAGTATGTATACCTGTATTTAAAAACATAAATGCCTGCATATGTACATCTGCATATATGAAAATAACTCTTACAAACATTTATGTATCTTATTTAATTCCAACATTTCATGCAAACCATTATTTTGATATCTTTGCTAGTTTCTTATCGTCATTCACAATTTTATCTGAATTTTGTTTTATGAGACTCAATGTACCTTCTGCAAAATTTATTATCCTTTGTGCCTCTTTGTAGCTTAGATCACTGGCTCTTCCATTCACCGTATTGGAGTGGACACTTCCAACAGTACCACGGCTTCATAAAGTGCCATCTAGGCAATCATCTTTTCCCTCTAAAGAACATATGATGGCCCCAGCTGCAGCATCTATATATGCATCTTGCACAGATTCCAGTGAGCCATTGTATTTGATGCGCTTAAGCTTTATTAAATTCACTAGCTTGTTTCAAGTTACTGCATCTCGGTTCGCTTAATCGTGGTGATTATTGTTTGCAGAAACAACTGATATATCTATTGACGACACATCTGAAAGTTTTTCATTTGCACTAGTAAATGGTGCACTGGGAGTTTTTGAGGTTCATGGGAGAAGGATCCGAGATTTCAGGTATATTTTTTCTCTTTATGTGAATGGGTTCATACAGAAAACCATCCAATCTTAACTTTTACTAATTATTTGTAGATTTTCCCTTAAAATGACCATGTAAATGTTCTGGTCCGGCTAGCATAAGGGAAACCTTCTTCAAATTGGATGAGAGCATGTTCTAGGTCTAGTAATCCCAAAAGTCAAGGTTTCGCCCTACACATAGGAGTGGATATAGTTAAACATGTTGAGAATTCTTGGGAAGGGTGTTTTTGGTCTTTTCCTTATCCATTTGAATTTGGGAACCTAATCAAGGGTTTTCTTGTAGTTTTCCTCAAAATATAAATATCAAGTTTGAGGGAGTGAACAGTAATACACATCTCCCATTTTCAAAAGTCTCTCTTCTTTCTTCTTCTTCTTCTCTTCCTCTCTCTACAAACCCTAGATTGACTACTTGGTACCAGAGCAAGTAGAGGCTCTTGGACAGATTCGTTTCTACTGATCTTCTCCCATAGGATGACCTGCTGACATCAGTCCACCGCCAGATGACGTCAACAGTCTGTATAGGTGACAGAAGCAGTCTATCAATCCTACCTGGTTTGGTTTGCCCTAATTTTAGAAGATTTTTTGTATTATTTTCGCATCTATTTGAAGCATCTGTTATTTTTTGTGGATTTTCTGGAGGAAATTTCCAGAAATTCCAGATCTGATGCTAAGCCTTGTCTGGCATGTTTAATGGAGTTTTCTGCTGCAAAACCTAGACCATTTGGGTCATTTTACATTTTGGGAATGACAGGAAGTGGTCCCATAATTTTCTAAGCCCTAAAGAATTTTTGGGAGATTTTCTTCTCCCTCTATATTGCTACCAACCTAGTTTTTTGGCCTCTTTGTGTCTCTTACCATGTGGTGACCTATTTTCTTGGGTCCTTTAGTATTGGTTGACCGTTGGGGGTCCTTTTGCTTAACAGGAGAGTGTTGGGTTCTAGTGTGCTCACAGGCAATACAGATATGTATAGTGGTATGTGAAGAAATAGTTGGTTAGCCATGAGTGTGGGGTTCCATACCCACACTCAGGCTCTAGTGTGTGTGGTTTCATACCCACACCTATTTGTTTCTAATTTCTTTTATTAGTAGTTTCTAATTTCTTTTTAGTAGTTTCTAATTTCTATTATTAGAAGTTTCTAATTTCTGTTAAATTGGGCTGGCTGGCCTTGTCTCTAATTTTTGTTTATTTCCTATTCTTGTAAGGATCCTAAAAGCTATAAATAAAGGAGTGTATGGGGCAGCAGATCATTCACCACTGAGCCCCTTCTTTCTTTTCTCCTCTCTTCACACTTTTTCTCTCTCTCTCTCTCTCTCTCTCTCTTTCTCTCTTTTCTTCTCTTCAAACCTGTAATACAGTAAACAGTTATTCTTTTTCTTCTTTCAAGTTGGTATCAGAGCCTTAGATCTAGGGTTTCTCATGTGGATTTAATTCAGCTGACCACATCAGAATTGTTTAGGACTGAAAGTTCAAAAAGATCCTTATTTCGGCTGATTCTTGGAGGTTGCAAGAAAGCTTTAACAGCTGTCCTAAGATTGGAGAGAGCTTCTTGTAATCAGGAAGAATCAGGCAGGAATTGAGTGATCAAGATCGATTCTTATTCAAGATTGGAGGTGCCGATCAGTTTTTTTCTTGGTTCTTTGATCAAGATTCAAGGTGCTGACAATAATCGATTGATCAAGTTTGAAGACTGAAGGTAGAAATCAGTTTTTTGGGCTTTTTTCTTCATTAAGTAAGTACCTTTTCTTGAGATTGATACTCAAAAGGACTTTGTTATTCATTCAGAGAGGTACGGATAGAAAATTTCAGGACTGATATCAATCCCAGGACAGTAGTTGATTGTTATCTAACTGCAAAATCATTGTCCTAGGTGGGTTGTTATCAGCCTTGAAATACAGTTTTTTCTTGTCAATTTAAAGCCTCTTCTTAACTTAGAATGGAGTGCAAGAAACCTAAACATACTAAGGACACCTGTTGAAAGTTGCACCCTCATCTAGTTCCAGCAAAGCTCAGAAATAAGAAAGGGAATGCCAATATGGATGTCAATACCGATAGTACCACTTCATCAGGCACAAGGGACACTCCTCTAGATACCCAAGCTGCAGTCCGAGCTGCTCTAACTCAGCTAGAAAATGAATTTAGTAATTCAGATCAGCCTACATCAGCTCAACGGCCTACTTCAGCCCTTGCTCATACAAGTACAAGAGCTACTGCTTGTCATGCTTCTGTCCCAGGTAATACTAGACCTTCCTGGGTAATAGATTCAGGTGCTTCATATCATATGACCAGCATATCTACTCAATTTAGCACCTATTGTTTATCCTCTGGGAGAGACAAAGTTTTTATTGCTGATGACTCTCTTGTACTAATTTCTAGAAAGGGAGACATCAGATTATCAGATACCATCACCCTATCCTCAGCTTTGCATGTTCCCAAGCTTAGTGCTAACTTACTTTCAGTTAGTAGTATTACTAAAAAACAAAACTGTTCGTTAACTTTTTTCCCTGATCAGTGTATTTTTCAGGATCTGGAAACAAAAAAGGTGATTGGGATTGGCCGTGAGGATATGCCCTACTATCATAAGGATTTTCCTTAGGGGGAGAATAGTGAGGAAGGGATTTCAGTTCCAGCTCCAAGAGTTCCTTTACCTGTCCCGGTTACTGAGGGGGGGAGTTGCGAAGAAGGTTGTAAAAAATGCAGGGAGTTGAGGGTGTATCACAGAAAGTGGTGGAGGCAAGTTGATTCTCGTACTCAACAGCAATCCAGGCCAATTCCAACATCTTCTACAGCTCCAGATCCAAGCATTACTATTGCTCCCACAGTTGATTCCACTGTTACAGAGGTTCAGCCTTCACCGACAGATGACCTTGATCTTCCAATTGCTATTCATAAAGGGAAGCGCCGTTACACCTCATCCACTGCCCATTGCATCTCCAAGTTCCTTTCCTATAATTGTCTCTCAAAATCCTACAGATCTTACTTGGCATCTATTTCTTCTATTCCTATACCCAGAAAAGTGCAAGAAGCTCTTTTGGTACCTGAATGGAAGGAAGCAATGCAAGTAGAGATGGATTCTCTTGTCAAGAACAACACATGGGAACTATTTAACCAGCCTGATGGGAAGAAACCCGTTGGATACAGATGGGTGTTTACTGTGAAATATAATGTTGATGGAACTATAGAGAGGTATAAGGCCAGATTGGTTGGAAAGGGATTCACACAAACTTATGGCATAGACTATACAAAAACCTTTGCACCTGTTGCAAAAATGAACACTATCAGAGTTCTTATATCCATTGCTGCAAACTTTTCATGGTCACTAATTCAGTTGGATGTTAAGAATGCCTTCCTCAACGGAGACTTGCAAGAGGAAGTATAAATGGAATTACCCCCTGGTTTTTATAGTACAGAAGTAGGAAAGAAAGTTTTCCTTTTGAAGAAGGCCTTGTACGGGCTGAAACAATCCCCGAGAGCTTAGTTTGATAGGTTTAGACTGGCTTTGGACAAATTTGGATACATACAAGCTCAGTCAGATCACACCCTCTTCTTTAAGAAGACAGTTCATTCCCTGACTCTACTTGCAGTCTATGTAGATGACATTGTGATAACAGGAAGTGGCACTAGTGAAATTGAAACCCTTAAACAACACCTTCACAAGGAATTTGAAGTGAAAGACCTTGGAAAGTTACACTATTTCCTAGGAATTGAGGTAGCTCGATCTAAGCATGGCATTTTCATCTCCCAAAGGAAGTATGCTCTGGACTTATTGGAAGAAACTGGCAAGTTAGGAGTGTAACCTGCTGATACTCCCATTGAGCCTGTTGAGCAAGAGCAAGTGAAGAGAGGAGAGGAGAAGAGAGATGAGTCGAGTGACTGAAAGCCCTCCAGAACCTAGGGAGCGAAAGAATGATTTTATTATTTATACTAGTACAGTCGAACAATATAAACAGAGGAGAAATTACAACAGTACCCTTATGGTACTAAATCTGAATACATAAACAACTGACAACACTCCCCCTCAAGTTGGA